TGTCTCTCATGTTTTATTTATTTACTTTCTTACTCTTACGTCGTCTCTCTCCCACAACTTGAGTGCCAACCCTGACAGCACAGGGATTTTCACCGGCTTTACCTGCCCCTATGCCCTGGCACATAGGAGGTGCTCAGTAAACCTTTGTGGAAGGAAGAGACGTCTCTCATTAGAACTGAGGCTTCGCGAGGGCAGGGACCTTGTTTATCTTGTTGCTGAATCCCTGGCGCCACGTCTGCTACCTGGTATGCGGCAGGGGCTCTATGAAAACAGGCTGAAGGAGGAAGATGATCTCAGAGCCTGTTTGGAATCTCTGCTTTTCTCCAGAATCTCTGCACTCAATGCTCCCATCTCCTCAGACCTGACAGTGATCTCCAGTGACCCAGCCCCGGGAGAGCACACAGGTGGAAGATGGGGAAGCCAGTTTTTCTGAGACTGGGCTCCAAATCCCTGCAGCGGGAAGAATGCTTCGGACCCGATGGGATGAGACGCTGGTGCTTCGCTCACTGCCACCTTCAGCTGTGTTTATGTAGGGGCTGTGTTTGCCGAGAACACAGGCCACAGCAAAAGTCCCTTTGTCCCCATGAAGACTGGGGCCTCCTGTTTAGCTAAAGGACTGTCTGTGTTCACTTGGGCCTCCAGCCTCAGCAGCTCCCTGCCCCTGCCCTCCGTATTTACTAAACCTTCCTCCTTCAGCAAAAGAATCTCCCGGATTTACCATGGCCACTGGCATACGTGGCAAACATCTTTTTGTTGTTGTTGTTTTTGTTCAGCCTGCTTGGGAGAAACGTCTCTTGGATTTACACTGCCTTTGAGTACACGTAACTCTCAGCATTGAGCAGGGTTCCCAGCTCTTGGTGAGGACTTCTTAAATAGCCCTTACATCTGTTCTCACCATCCTGACACCCTTGCCACTGCCCCAGTTTTGGCTACCAAATCCATTCCCAGACCTTTGTCCCAGCCCTCTCCCTGACCGCCTGGCTCAGAATCTTCCCTACTCCAGTCCTTCCTGGACATGGCCCCAGAGCGATCTTTCTGACACCCAGAGCTGGCCCTGTCTGCTCTAACCCTCCCCAGGGCCCCATCCTGGCCAGAAGAATTCCAGTGCTTTATGGAGAGCTGGCCACCCCCTCCACCACCCTGCACGAGGAGAAGTGGCAAAGCCTCGAAGGGACTCGGGGCTCCCATGCCTGCAGGCCTCCGTGCCTGCCGTTGTCTCTGCCTTGCACGTTTGTCCCCATCTCGCCCTTTCCTGTGCTCATTCTTACTCATCTCCAGCTCCCGGTTTAAGCATTACCTCTTTCAGGAAGCATTCCATGACGCACCACGCTGAGTTAGAAGCCCCACCTTGGGCCTCCCCTGTGTTCCTCCTAAGCCCCACCGTGGCACGTATCCCACTGGGTCTTGACTTGCCAGTGTCCCTGCCCGCCTCTGCTGCCAGACAGGGAGCCCATTGAGGGCAGGGACCAGGGCTGACTCAGCTGCATTGCCCCACCGCCCTGCACAGGGCCCGCCAGCTCCAAGGAGGTGTCAGGAAATGTTTGCTGCGTGAATAAAGGGGTGATCAGTATCCCTCCTTTGCCCAACTATCCTCCATGGCTTCTGCATTGCTCAGAACCAAAGGCCAGGCCAAAGTCGCCTCTCCCTCTCACCTCTCTCCTCCACCTGCCCCCTCTGCTTTTTCCCTCAATCTCAGAGTTTGCACTTGCTGTTTCCTGCCAGGAGCACTTTCCCCCGAGACCCCCCACCCCCGTGCTCTCTGCCTCACCCTCACCTTTCCCTGAATATCTCCTCCTTGAAGCCTCGCCTGTCCCTCCTACTCAAATAGAAGTGATTATCACCATCTAGCATACCACATATTTGACTTATTTTTCTGGTTTTTTTTTTTTTTTTTTTTTTGTCTCTCCCTTCAGGGCATGGTTTTGGTCTGTTCACTGCTGTCACAAATCACATGCTCAAAAAGTATTTGTTGAGTGGATGACACAGGGGTCTTGAGGTCAAGGAGTGTCTGGTGTTTATACGGGGCCTTAAGATCTCTGCCAGCCTGTGTCTCTCACCCTTGAGGACTGGCTCAGAGACCAACGGACAGGTGGCCGGAGACACCTGCGCTCCCTGTCAGAAAGACACGGGCAGGGGAAGGGGAGACCTGGCTTTGCTGTCAACGACCACCGGCTGCACAGGCGAGGTCACAGCGACCTCTTGTGGCCAGAGACGAAAAGAACACCTTCCCCCAGCATTTTTATTTTCATTTATTTATTTATTTGTTTATTTATTTATTTGTTTATTTATTTATTTATTTATTTACAGACGGAGTCTTGCTGTCACCCAGGCTGGAGTGCAGGGGCGCCATCTCGGCTCACTGCAAGCTCCGCCTCCCGGGTTCACGCCATTCTCCTCCCTCAGCCTCCGGAGTAGCTGGGACTACAGGCGCCTGCCACCACACCGGCTAATTTTTTGTATTTTTAGTAAAGACGGGGTTTCAGCGTGTTAGCCAGGATGGTCTCCATCTCCTGACCTCATGATTCTCCCGCCTGGGCCTCCCAAAGTGCTGGGATTACAGGCGTGAGCCACTGCGCCTGACTATTTTTGTTTTGTTTTGTTTTGTTTTGTTTTTTGAGACGGAGCCTGGCTCTGTCGCCCAGGCTGGAGTGCAGTGGCCAGATCTCCAGATCACGGTTCACTGCAACCTCCGCCTCCAGGGCTCAAGCCTCAGCCTCCTGGGTGACTGGGATTACAGGCACCTGCCAGCCCGCCTGGCTAATTTTTGTATTTTTTTGTATTTTTAGTAGAGGCAGGGTTCTGCCTCGAACTCCTGACCTCAAGTGATCTGCCTGCTTCAGCTCCCAAAGTGCTGGGATTTCAGGCGTGAGCCACCGCATCCAGTACCCCAGCTCTTCAGAGTACCCCATGAGCAAGGCTGCAAGCCCAGGCTAAGAGGGATGGCAAGCACTTACTAAATGCCAGGCGCTCTTCTAATCACTGATATGTATTCATTAACAATAACCACAGGGCGGAAGTACCATTCCTCCCCACACTGTACAGCCGAGGAATCTGCTCAAGGTCACGCAGTTCGCCGGGCAGAGCGTGACTCTGAACTCAGGCAGTCTGGGTCTAGGAAGCACATTGCAAACCTGCGCAGTCCAGTGGAGCGCCCACGGATCCCGTGTGGTGGTTGAACTGTGGGGAGTCTGGATTGAGATGGGTTGGAAGTGTAACATACACACTGAATTTCGAAAACTCTATATGAAAAAACATGTACAAAACATCTCGCGGCTGGGCGTGGTGGCTCACGCCTGTAATCCCAGCACTTTGGGAGGCCGAGGCGGGTGGATCACGAGTTCAGGAGATGGAGACCATCCTGGCTAACAGGGTGAAACCCCATCTCTACTAAAAATACAAAAAATTAATCGGGCATGGTGGCGGACGCCTGTAGTCCCAGCTACTTGGGCGGCTGAGGGAGGAGAATGGCCTGAACTCGGGAGGTGGAGCTTGCTGAGATTACACCAAGATTAGGCCACTGCACTCCAGCCTGGGCGACAGAGCCAGACTCCATCTCAAACAAAACAAAACAAAACAAAAAAACAACTCACGTAAGTTTTAACATACTGATTATATATTAAAATTATAATTTTTGTATAAGTGGGTCAAATAAATTTATTTAAATGTCACTGTGTCCCTTCTCTAAAAATATGGCTATGAGAAGATTTTAAATTATACACACGGTTTGCATTTTCAATTGGAGAGTGCCTTAAACCACAAAAGAAATCTAACCCACTGCCCACCCCCCCATGCAGAGGGAGAAACTCCAATGAACAGAAGGGAAACGGTCCCTTGCCCAAAGCCACACGGTAAATCCCTGGCACATCAGCAATAGGAACCTAGGTCCCCTGGCTTCCAGCAGGCAGCCCAGCCAAAGTGTCCAGAGCCCCAGCTCCTTTGCTGATTTGCTGCAGTGTGGCCCCGGGCAACTTACTTCACCTCTCTGGGTTGTAAGTTCATCCTTCATAAAATTGGTGCTGAAGGAACCAACCCAAATGCCCATCAGTCAATGAGTGGATAAAGAAACTGTGGTATATATATACGATGGAATACTACTCGGCCATATAAAGGAATGAATTAACAGCATTTGCAACGACCAGGATGAGACTGGAGACTATGATTCTAAGTGAAGTAACTCAGGAATGGAAAGCCAAACATCCTATGTTCTCCCTGATATGTGGGAACTAAGCTATGAGGATGCAAAGGCATAAGAATGATACAGTGGACTTTGGGGATTTGGGGGGAAGAGTGGGAGGGGGACGAGGGATAAAAGACAACAAATACGGTGCAGTGTATACTGCTCAGGTGATGGGTGCACCAGGATCTCACATATCACCATGAAAGAACTTATTCATGCAACCAAATAACACCTGTACCCCAATAACTTATAGAAAAATAAAATAATATTAAAAAATAAAAAATAAACTTTTTCCTTCTATGTACCAGTTAAAAAAACATTGTTGCTGAAAACTCATTCCTCATGTCATTGAGCTAATGAGGAAGGCAGGCACACTTGGCACCAGGACTGGCACACAAGCGTCATCCTATGCAATTGATCTTGATCATCTTGCACCCCCTACAGCTCATTCTCCTCACAGCAGTTGGAGTAACTTTTAGGAAATGGAAATCAGACCCACTGCTGGGACCAAAGCCCTCCGAAGACCTGCCATCACTCTTAAAATACAAGTCTTTCTCGCCAACAGAAGACCACGCATGGCCCATCCCTGCTTATTGGCTCATTTCATCTCTTGCTATTCTTCTCCTTACCCACTCTGTTCCCACCACACTGGACTTGCTGTTCCCTGCACTTGCAAGCTGATTCCCACCTCTGGGCTTTTGCACTGGCAGTTCCCTCCACCAGGAAAGCTCTTCCCCCAAATGGCTCAAAGCTTCGTTCTTTTGCTTCTGCAGGTCTGTGCATAACGTCACGTCCTCCAAGGCCCTTCCTTCCCTGACCCCTATGGATACGAGCTCTTTCTGTCTGTCATCATTTTTTTTTTTTTTTTAATTTGTAGCATTCATCACTACCTGACATTACATATTGATGTGCTTACTGTCCATTTCCCCCAGACTGAACTTCATGAGGGCAGGGACTTGTCTCCTGCTCACTGCCATGTTCCTAGAACCCAGAGGAGTGCCTGATGCAAAGGAGGTGCTCATACACATGTGTTGAGTGAATCCTCTAGTCCTTGCCCTCCAGCCCAAGTCTGGGTGGCCACACAGTGAGGACAGGACTGAGAAGCAGGGGTTTGGGAGAATACCAAGCCCAGGGTTGGGAGGTGGGAGGAGAGAATTGAGAAGCCTTCCAGGAGGACCCTGGAGGATCTGAGCAGAGTGATGGGAAGAAGGGGCATTTCTGACAAGAAGCCAGCCCAACAAGTCCTGGAGGTGGGACTGAGAGCACCATCTCCCTAGGAAGCTTGAGATTCTCACAATCTCCCCGTACCTACAGGACAGCAACCCTGAAGCCCAGCGCCCCCTGGTGGCCAGACAGTAACATGAACGACCAAGTCCAAGTGGTCACCATTTATTGAGCACCTCAACTTCTCTGATCTTCCGCTTCCTCCCAAGAGTGCCTTGATGCGGGGAGGGCAGGGGGGCGGGGGGGGCAAGGGGGCTGACTCCATTTTCAGAGGAGAAATGGGAGATGAAAGAGGCTAAGTCACTGACGGGCGCACAACCCTGCTTCCAGAGTCCAAGGTTTGGGGAACCCATCCAGCCCCTCCTCACCCGGGACAGTGATACCAGGAGAGATTCGGGAGGGGTTGGGTGGGGGAGGGCCAATTCCACGATCTTCGATCCTCGAGAGCTTTGGAGGGAGCCCTCGGTGTGACCCCTTCCGACTGGGTATCTTAGGGCCATTTACCACTTCAGGCTACAGCCAGTGAGGCCGTGGTGGAGACGAAATGAAGGTGCAGCGCGCACTGCACACGAAGCGTTGGAAGGGAGGCATCGTGATGGGGGCTGTGAATGGCGTGTGTCCATCAAGTCATGTCACTCTGCTTACCCCACTGTGGGCAAACAGGAAACATCAGGTCTAGCCCCTCCTGAGCGCACCCAGAACCAGCAGAGGCACTGGGCAGGAGGTCCCCAACCAACCTCCACTCGCTCAGGAATCACAGTGTTCAGTCCCCTCCTCCCTGAGACCCAGGAGTCCATGACCCCAGGTCCTCCTTCCTCAACCACAGATGATGCCTGGGGTTCCTAGCACCACTTCTTCTAGGCCTAGTCCTGGCCCTCTCCTCTCTCAGACCCAGGATGGTCCCCCAGCCCCCTCCTCCCTCAGAGCCAGAAGCCCAACTCGAGACCCATCCTCCCTGAGACCCCAAAGTCTGGGGTCCTAGCTTCTTCAGGGTTTCAGGTCAACAGGCCGCCATCTCCTTCCCAACCCCACATGGAAGGCCCGGTAAGGTAACAGGTTTATTCACAGTGTCATTTACAGGCAGCACCCACCCAGGGGGCGTCGGATCCCAGCGGGAGGCCCGAAGTCGCTAGAAGGTGGGGACGGCCTTGGAGGTGGGGGCCCGGGCCGGATCCCCGGGTGTCCCCGGCATCGCCTCCTCGTCTAGCCCCCGGCGGCCCTTGCCGATGGCCAGGCGGGGCCGGCCGCGGTTCAGGCCGTCCAGGAGCGCGCAGGCCTGGCAGAGCGCGCGACTGGCCAGGGCCCCACAGCGGGAGCAGGCGCCGGGGCGCGGGGGCCGCGCGGCCGGGGCCAGCGCCAGGCGCTCTGCCGAGTGCACGAGGTCCAGCACCGCCGACGGCCGCGCCGCCTCCAGGCGCTTGAGCAGGTCCCGGGCGTGACCACGGAAGGCCTCGGGCGCGTAGACGCACTCCTCGGAGAAGTAGTCCAGGCGGCGGAAGTGCGCGTACAGCACCACCTCCTTCTGCGAGGCGAACTGCAGCGGGCGGCAGCGTGGCAGGGCGCCCCCTTCGCCCGGAGAGCCCAGGCCCCCGCCCCGGGCCAGCCGCCCCGCGTCGCCCCGCAGGAAGTTCATAAGCACGGTCTCCGCCATGTCGTCGGCGTTGTGACCTGGTGGGGAGAGACGGGAGCGGGTGAGGTGGGGCGTGGAGGGCGCTGCTGGTCAGGGAGCCCCCCGGGGAACCAAGGGTCCACCAGGACCCAGAGAGAGACCGGGAGGAGAGACCCACGGAGACCCAGGGCACAGTGGGGCCGCCAGGACCCAGAGAGAGACGGCGAGAGGGAGAGCAAGCCATGGAGACAGACCCCCGATCAACGTGCGACAGCCAGGATCCAGAGACAGGGAGTGGGAGAGAGAGCCAGGGAGACCCCTGGGGCACTGTGGGCAACCAGGACCCAGAGAGAGACGGGGAGGCGGAGAGCGAGCCATGGAGACCCCCCGGGAACTGTGAAGCAGCTAGGTGCAGGCTGGAGGTGGGCACAACAAAAAATCAGAGAAACAGCAGCTCCCCTGGCGCAACATGGGGGTGCCCTCATGTACCACCCGCCTACTGCATAGTGGACCTTATGCTAGTTGCCCTTTCATATAGGAAGTAAAAGTGCATTATGCTGCTAATAACCTTATCAGCCTCAGTGAAAACCGCAATTCAAACTGTACACAAAAATCAGAATGGCGTTTAAGGCACTTAAACCAAGATTCTCAAGAGAGCTGGTGGGGTAGGCTGCTCTCTCCCCCACCGCCTAGGGAGTCCATGGCCTAATTCTGGGAACCTGTTAGTATGTTTGGTTGCAGGGCAAAGGGGAATTACGGTTGCAAGTTGAATTGGGGCTGCTAATCAGCTGACTTTACAACAGGGACAGTCTGATGCGTTATCCAGGCGCGCTCAAGGGAATCACAAAGACCCTTAGAGTGGAGGAGGGAGGCAGAAAAGGGAGAGATAGGACCATGGAGACCTTTGAACATAGTGGGCAGCCAGGACCCAGAGAGATAGGGAGGGGGAGTCTGAGCTATGGCGCCCCTCTGGGCACCATAGGACAGCCAGGACCCAGAGACCGGGAGAGGGAGACTGGGCCATGGAGACCCCTGGGCACTGTGGTGTAGCCAGGTGGTGGCTGGAGGTGCACACAGCAGGAATCGAGAGGGGAACATACACAAGCTCCCTGGGGAACTTGGGTATACATTTGCCACCCACCTACTGCATATGGGGGTATGAGGGCAGAAGCAAGGTTAGAGTGATGGAAATGGTGTAAGACTCAACCTATCATCCTTGGCTTTGAAAATAGAGGAAGAGCCGGGCACAGTGGCTCATGCCTGTAATCCCAGCACTTTGAGAGGCCGAGGGAGAATCACCTGAGGCCAGGAGTTCAAGACCAGCCTGGCCAACATGGCGAAACCCCCATCTCTACTAAAAATACAAAAATTAGCAGGGTATAGTGGCAGGTACCTGTAACCCCAGCTACTTGGGAGGCTGAGGCATGAGAATCTCTTGAACCTGGGAGGCGGAGGTTGCAGTGAGCCAAGATCGTGCCACTGCACTCCAGCCTGGGCTCCAGAGCAAGACTCTTTCTCAAAAGAAAAAAAGAAAAGAAAAGAAAAGAAAATGGAGGAAGGGACCAGCCAGGAATGTGGGCAGCCTCTGGAAGCTGGAAAAGGCAAGAAAATGGACCTCCTTGCCCCAGAGCCTCCAGGAGAAACGCAGCACTGTTGAGATGTTGATTTTAGCCTGGTGAGACTTCCCAGACTTCTGATTTCCAGAACTGCAAGATAATAAATCTGTGTTGTTTAAAGCTGTGAAATTTGAAGTAATTTGTTACAGCAGCCAGAGAAAACAAATGATTCTTGACACAGAGCCTCTGACAACACAGACTGTAGTTTTTTATGGGTTTTTTTCATTTTGTTTTATTGTGTGTGTGTGTGTGTGTGTGTGTTTGAGACAGGGTGTCGCTTTAGTGCCCACGCTGGAGTACAGTGGCACGATCTCAGCTCACTGCAACCTCCGTCTCTAGGGCTTAAGTGATCCCCCCGCCTCAGCCTCCAGAGTAGCTGGGACCACAAGTGTGTACCACCATACCCAGCTAATTTTTGTATTTCTGTATAGATGCAGTTTCTCCATATGTTGGCCAGGCTGGTCTTGAACTCCTGAGCTCAAGTGATCCACCTGCCTCGGCCTCCCAAAGTGGCTGGGATTACTGGCATGAGCCACCACCCCTGTAATCACTGCAGTGTTTTTGTGTTATCTTTGTTTAGAAATAACAGTGAGAAATATTTACACACTGGTCACCATGAAATTGAAGCTATACTTGTTCTGCATCTTGTCAAGTTGTACTTGAGTCTGTATCAGTGGTTCTCAATCTAGGATGATTCTGCCCTCCTTCCCTCCCCCAGAGACATTTGTCCCCCAGAGACAATGGCTGGAGACATTTCTGGTTGTCAGATTGGGGGTGGGGCACTACTATGAAATAGCATCTAGTTGGTAGAGGTCAGGGATGCTGCTAAAATCCTATAACGCAGAGGACAGCTCCCTAACGACAAATTATCTGGTCCCAAATAGCAATAGGGCCGAAGTTGAGAGGCCCTGGTCTATATGGTAAAAATCCCCCAAGAACTTGGCTCTAATTGTGTTTGTAGTAATGGTTACCTTCCAAAGACCTGCCGAGCCCTGTGACCTTGAGATCAGGCATGTTTGCAAATGACATCTGGTTAAATGTTTATTGATTTAAAGTTGTAAACCACATTAACTAGGGGAGACTGGATTTGCTCCACACCTTGTCATTACAAACCTACTTAAGAGCTCCCGATTTTGTAATAATTATTACAACAATTATTATACTATGCCTTTGAAAATGGAGTACATAAACAAAGGGTAAAAATCACCTTTCAAGTTAGGGATTTTTCTGGAAGCCTTCATTACTTTTAGAAGTACAATTATTCTATCAAATTAACTTTAAAACCCGAGACAGTCTCTCATTCTCTTTTTCTTGCTCTGTCACTCAGGCTAGTGCAATCTCAGTGGTGCGATCTCAGCTCACTGCAACCTCCACCTCCCGGGTTCAAGCAATTCTCCTGCCTCAGCCTCCCAAGTAGCTGGGATTACAGGCACCTGCCACCACGCTTGGCTAAATTTCGTAGTGTTAGTAGAGATGGGGTTTCACCATGTTGGCCAGGCTGGTCTCGAACTCTTGACCTTGTGATCCACCTGCCTCAGCCTCCCAAAGTGCTGGGATTATAGGTGTGAGCCACTGTGCCCGGCTCAAGCGTTTCATTCTTTCCATACACTGCCTGTTCTTGTAAGGAAAGGATTATTCTTCCCATTTTCAATCACAGAGATCTAGGGATTTCTCCAAAGTTACTCAGTAAGGAAAGGGCCACACCAGTGAATGAAGCTCAGTAAGCCTTCCCCAGAGCCAGTGACCCTAGCACGGTGGCAGACAACAGACTCAGAACTACTTTTGCCTTCCTATCCTTTGAGTGTGCTGATTCTCTCCAGCTATCATCTCTCACCTCCATGACCGCAGCTGGCTTCCCACTGACTGGTCTCCTTGCCTTTGTCCCTGCCCCTCCGACCCAGGTTCCTCACCATGGTATGGGTGAGCTTTTCAAAGTGAAGCTCTCTTCATGTCACTTTTACTGGTTCCACCACAGCCTACAGGGTAAGGCCTGACCTCTTCCACCTCTCCAGCCTCCCCTGCCCTTGCTTTCTGGGCTCCAGCCACACTGGACTTCTTAGGGTAGCCCAGATTGGCTTTTCACAGACCAATAACCTCTCCCCAATTCTTACCCCCTTTACCTCTTCACCGTGAGCCTTCAGATTTCAAAATAGTTCCTTGACCCCACTCCTTCCATGCTATAGGGTTCTTCGTGTGTACACATAGTCCATAACATGTCCATGCATGGTCAATAACATGTGTAGTGTTTATAATCTTGTACCCGATAACCATGCAAAGGTAGAAACTTGTGCATAACTGTATTCTTAGCACTAGCCCAACAACGATGATGATAATAGCATGTAGAAAATGTGTAATCTATACTATATCATACAGGTTATGTAACATAACTATAATATAGATAACATTATACTTCTACTGACTCATCTAATTGTCATAACAAGTTTATGAGCTGGGTACCATTCATAGTCCTGCTTTAGGGATGGGGTGAAACAGAAGTACAGAGTGGTTAAGAACTTTGGTATGGCCACAGTTGGGATCCGGCATATCGCAGAAACTTAGCATCTGTTTGTTGAAGGAATGGATGAAAGAGAGAGAATAAAAAGTTTGGGAGGCCAAGGCGGGTAGATCATGAGGTCAGGAGATCGAGATCATCCTGGCTAACACGGTGAAACCCCGTCTCTACTAAAAATACAAAAAATTAGCTGGGCATGGTGGCGGGCGCCTGTAGCTCCAGCTACCCGGGAGGCTGAGGCAGGAGAATGGCGTGAATCCGGGCGGCGGAGCTTTCAGTGAGCGGAGATTGCTCCACTATATTCCAGCCGGGGAGACAGAGCGAGACTGTCTCAAAAAAAAAAAAAAAAAAAAAAAGTATCAAAGAGGAGAGGCCAACCAAGAAAAGGAATTAAGAGATGGAGATACTTTTTAGAGACACAGCTGGATTCTGAAAGGTGGGCCGTTAGAGATCAAGCATGTTAGAAACACTTAAAAATAAATAAAGAACCAGAGATCTAATCTCCAGAGACGTTCACCTCCCGCCCCTTTGGCAATCTGTGGAGACCAAGACGGTGGCCAAGACCCAAAAGCCTTTGTGATCACTGCCTGGCCCCTCTGTCTCCCCAGCATCTTGAACCTTCAAAGGGCCCCAGCCCCAACCTGGAGCATGCGCACTTCCGCATCTCCTTACAGGGATCATCCGGTTAAGCCACCAGGGTCTCCTCGCCTGCTTCTGGAGCATGCGCCTGAGTCCCCTTTCAGGACCCGCCTCCTCGCCCGTGCATGCGTCCCACTGCCTCCGAGAGTGCCGCTCTGCGCCACGCCAGTACTCACCTGTCACAATGTGCGTGGCTCCCACGCGGCGCGCCCCTTCCTCCAGCGCCCGGCGCCGCAGCACTCCACAGAAGGTGCAGCAGGAGCGGCTGCGGCCGGAGCCGGCTGTGCTGCGGGCCACGGCGTCCATCGTCCAGCCCCCAAAGAGGTCTTCGTAGGCCACGACCGTGAGCGGCAGCTCCCAACGCGCCGCCTGGCGCCGCACAGCTGCCAGCGCCGCGTCCCGGTAGCCACCGATGCCCTCGTCGACGGCCACGAGCTGCAGTGAAATGCCCAGGCGCGGTGTCAGCGCGCGCAGCACGTGCGCCAGCACCGTGGAGTCCTTGCCGCCGGAGGCGCCCACCGCCACCACCGCGCCCGGCGGCAGCAGGCGGCCGGCAAGCACCGTGTGCAGCACCTCGGCCTCGAAGGCGGCGCAGAAGCAGGCACCGCACAGCGCTTGGCCCGAGCGCGGACGGCGGAGCGCGGCGCGTGAGGCATGGCAGGAGGCGCACGGCGGGGCGGGCATTGCGGGAGGGGTCGGCTTCTCCTAGACAGGGAGAGAGAGGAGGTGGGTTACACGTGGATTCCGGATTGCAGGGTCCTTGCCTTCAGGGAGATTGGCTGGATTGCACCTCTGCCCGGAATAGACCAGGGAGACGCGTGCGGGAGTGGGGTAGCTGCTTCTAGCGCTGGGGACAGAATGGTTATAATCAGGTCCTACTGTAAGGAAGCCACTGCCTTAGGGAAGGCTTCTTGGATTGCGCCCATTATGCACGAAGAGAAGTAGCTTAAGAAGCTGGCTTCATGGGTAAAGAGAGGGAGCGACGAGCAGGTTATACCCAGGATTAGGTTGTATCCTGTCCAGAGGGATGAGGGTGTATATTAAGGACCATTTGTCACAACCTCCAGGGAGGCCACCCTTGTTACAGCCCTGATCAGAAGGACAAGGTAGATATCATTGGCCTGGGCCACGAGGGCTGTTAAAAGCGCTTGGGAGGTGAGGGGTTTATAACTCTAAGGGCAGAGAGAGGCCAGGGGACTGAAGCTCTATTCAGGGGGAGGTGGAAAACAGGAAAGGCCAATTGATTTCACTTTGTAGGATGGGATACGGTCGCCAGGAATGGGTTCTGATTGCATCCTATGACAGGCAGGGTGATCACCTTCTCCAGGGAACACACAGGCAGCCTGGATCACACCTGTTGGGAGACTAGCTGGGGTTGCACCCATTTTGAGGGTGAGAGAATGTGTGGGCCTCCAAGATTGAACTCAACCCTGCTCTGGTATCAGAATCCCCCACAAGCTTCTGAGGCCTCAAGACATGGATCGGCCCATCTTTGACCTTCATCTGTTATCTTTCCTACCTCATCCTTCCCCACCCAGCCAAGACTCCAGCCCTTCAGTCAAATCTTGGTCCTGCCTGCCTGGTGAACCCATAAAAACTCCCCAGGCTCAGTTCCCCTCCCCAGGCCACCATCACCTCCAGCCTGGACTACTGCAGTCACCTCCTTGCCATTCAGAGCAGGTCACGCTGCTTCTAGGATTTACCACAATGGGTGGAATTATTTTATGTGACTGTATATTTACCATCTCTAACTTCTATGAGGACAGAGACCAGTGCCACTCAGATGTGTAATAGGCATGTCAAAACCCAACTTCCTGATTCCTCTAACCTAACGGGCTTCTCCTGGAGTACAGGGCAGCTCCATCCTTCCAGCTGCTCAGGCCAGAAGCTTTGGGGTCCAGGACCCTGGACTGCTCTTTCTCTCACTACACTTGTCATGCTCCCAGTGGGTGGCACCAAATTGCAAGGCTAAGTCCACACCTTTTCAAACTCCAGGTACCTAAAGGAAATTTAGCAAATCCTGTTTGAATGTAGCTTCAAAACAGGCAAACGCTTACGACCATCTCCATGGCAGCACCCTAGTCTGGTCTGTCTCTCTCCTGGACGGTTTCCTGGGGCTCCTCACAGGTCTCCTACTCCTGCCTCGCCTCCTCTACAAACACTCCTTCACAGAACAGCCAGTGGGATCGTGCCCTGAATCTTCTCAGCATCCTCCTTTGGATCCCATCTCAGTTTAGTATAATAACTGCTAATGGCCGATGAGGCCCTACACGTCTGACTCCTTGTTTCTCTGACCTCCTGTCCTTCAGCCTTTATGGCGTTTACTCTGACGAACGCTCCTGAGGAATGCTCCTCTCCAGATGTTTGCACTGGCTCTCCCCTCTGCCTTGAGTACTCTTCCCTGCCACTGGGCCCAAGAAGCAGCCCTCAGGACCCATCTGCAGTGACCATCAGGCACATCTGTCACAGCTGAGCAGCAACCCTTGGACTCTTTCCTCCCCCGACTTTTGACTCACTCATTCTGTGCTCCTGGATTTCCTGCTCAATTCTCTTTTGGGGAGGCCTCTTCATGTTCTAAGGTCCTGCCTAGCACCCATCTCTTTCCATTCCTTTTAAGATTTAAAATTTTTTTTTTTTATTTTTTGAGATGGAGTCTTGATCTGTTGCCCAGGCTGGAGTGCAGTGGCACAATCTCAGCTCACTGCAACCTCTGCCTCCCAGAGTCAAGCGTTTCTCCTGCCTCAGCCTCCCGAGTAGCTGGGACTACAGGTATGCACCACCATGCCTGGCTAATTTTTTATTTTTTATTTTGTATTTTTAGTAGAGACAGGGTTTCACCATGTTGGCTAGGCTGGTCTTGAAGTCCTGGCCTCTAGTGATCCGCCCGACTTGGCCTCCCAAAGTGCTGGGATTACAGGTGTGAGCCACTGTGCCCAGCCTCTTTCCATTCTTGTGAGCGCCTATGAATCATGATATTCAGATGTCCCTCCTGGCTGGTCCTTCACATGGCTGGGGTACCTTTCAGATGTTCAGACCCTAAGTGCCCAGACAACCTTCCTCAAAAGGCAGAAACCTGTTCTTGCCCATCTGTTCCCTCTCTTCTGAGAACAGCCACCACTTTTCATCCAGCACATCTGCAGGACAGGACATAATGTCACCCTGGACTAATCTCTCCTCACCCCCTAAATCTACAGTCACCCAGTCCTGGGGGTCCACGTCCTGAGGAAGGGAGACCCTTGCAGGGGACAAGGCTGCACAAGTGAGCAGAGCCTAATAGGCCATGATGTGGAGTTTTAGGTTTATTCAGGAGGAGATGGGAGCCATGGGAGGTTTTTGAAGAGGGAAGGGGTACGATCTGACATGTTTTAAAAGGATTCCTAGACTGGTCAACATAGCGAGACCCCATCTCTAAAAACAATAAACAAGTTAGCTGCTCCTGGTGGCGCAGGCCTGTAGTCCCAGCTACTAAGGAGGCCAAGGTAGGAGGATCACTTGAGCCCAGGAGGTCAAGGCTGCAGTAAGCCATGATTGCACCACCACTGCACTCCAGCTTGGGCGATTGAGTCAGACCTTGTCTCAAATTTAAAAAAAAAAAAAAAAAAGTGGGATTCGTTTGGCTGCTGTGTGGTGAGGACTGTTGTAAGGGACAAGGACAGAAGGCTGGAGGTCAGCACACTAGACAGGAGTGGTGGCAGTAGAGGTGGGAAGAAATGAAATTTCAGATCTACTTTGAAGGTGGAGCCCATAGGACATGTATAAGACTGACTGGGGACTGGGGCAGTGACGAGAGAAAGTGATGAAAGGTAACTCTGAGGTTCTGGCCTGAGCACTAGAGGGATGGTGGGGCCATTTTGTGAGGGGAGAAGACCAGTAATTCCATTTGGACACGTCAGGTTTGACATGCATGTTAAGCGTCTTCCCTCAAAGACTTTATGGACCCCAGTCACTGAGTCGAGCGCCTCCACCAGAGCCCCCAGAACTGCACGTATGCAGCTCTATACAGGCCCTGATCCTGACTAGCTTCACTAGTGAGGGGTCTGCCTCTCTGCTTCTTCAAGGCAGGGACAGGGTTGGTCTGGTGCCCTCGGCCGCGCCGCCTTGCGCAGGGTCGGTGCTCAGTAAATATCTGTAGGATCAGGGAATAATAAATACTCCCAGAAGAGCGGCTGCGGACCCTAGGGATGCCTCTGGATTGCAGCCTTATCAAAAGGACAGATAATGTGTGGCATGGGGGCGGGGACAGGCAGATAGTGACATAGGGGCGGGGGCAAGCAGATGGTCTTATCCTGTCTTGGGGAAGGGGGTGGCCCGGTAAGAGACAGGCCGGACCGCAGCGTCCAAAGTGGGAATCCTGGCTACAAGGCCTCAGGGACACAGGCCCTGGGAAATCAGAGGCATCTTACGCTCGGAGAGACCCTCAACCCTCCCACGGCACCGCAACAAAGAGCCGGGGTCCACATGCTGACCCACCGCAGGAGGAAGTACTCACCCGGGCAGAACTCAGTGCTGGGACGCCCACACTGCCCACCACGCGGAAGCCTGGCACGGAAGTGACTCAGAGACTACCACTCCCATAAGGTCTTGGGGCTTTCTTGCCTAGAACTCCCAGAAGCCCATGCGACAGTGCCGCTGGATGCGCCTGCGGCTCCGGAATTCCGCTTGGCCTACAACTCCCAGAAACACTTGCATTGCTCTTTCCGCTGCTCCCAAAGTACACTGCCCCCCTGTTTACTTTCTGCGCCTGCGCGCGGGCGCAGGGAGTGGCGGAGCCGCGTGTACTGTTGTCATGGCAGCGCGCTGTCACCGGCAGGTTGCAGGATGGGCGAAGTAGTTGTATTCTGATTAACTGGTTTTGTGGGATTATTACAGGATTTTAAGGGGATTATAGGGCCTGTGATTTTGGCCCTTTGAGGCGGGGTTGCGGGTAGGAATTGAAGGTGAAACTGCAGGGGTTGGTCGCTAGTGTAAAAGGCGCAGATGGCGCATCCGCAGAGCAGACTTCGAGGATTGGAGCGGAACTCCGCGCGCACACGTGAGCGGTGGTGATGCGTGTGCTGGAGACCCAGACTCTAAACATCTAAACAGAAGGATCCAAAGATCTTTCTCACCTAACCCAGGAGCCCAGACGCTCAGAGACTCAGACCCTTGAGACTAAGGGGGTTAAAAACGCAGACCCCTGGCACCAAAGCACCTGAGAGAACCAGTAGACCTGGAGACTACCTTTTGCACCCTAGAGACCCAGGGATCTGGAGGCCTCCACCCTCCCAACAAGGCCCAAGGGCCTTGAAGTCCCCGGAGACTCAAATGCCGGGGCACAAGGAGTCTAAGGACTCAGATATCTGATATCCTTGAGACCCGGGTCCCCAAACCTAAGTCCTCAAAAAAACTGAGGCTCAAAATTCCTCTTGATGGGGCGGTGGCTCACGTCTGTAATCCCAGCACTTTGGGAGGCCGAGGCGGGTGGATCACGAGGTCAAGAGATGGAGACCATCCTGGCCAACATGGTGAAAGCCGATCTCTACTAAAAATGCAAAAATTAGCTGGGCATAGTGGCGTGTGCCTGTAGCCCCAGGTACTGGGGAGGCTGAGGCAGGAGAATGGCTTGAACCCAGAAGGCAGAGGTTGCAGTGAGTCTCGATCGCACCACTGCACTCCAGCCTGGCCACTGCCTTCTTGTTAGTTTTTGCACCTCCTTACTAGATGATAGGTCGGCCTGGGTTCCCACAGCAGCACTAATACACTTTGTTGGCCAGAGGAGGCCCCAGGAAAGACCTTCTGTTGGCAACACTCTCTGAAGGACCCTCTTTTTCTCTTTGACCTTATCTCTCATTCTCCTCATCCCAGGAGCCTTTTATGTGAGTTTCCACAACTCCTCCTCACGCCCTCTCTTCTCTCTGCACTTCTTGTGACTCTCGCCTGAGGTCTTGCACACCTTGCTGTTCATCCCAGTCTGCTCTGAGCCCCAGACAAACGCATTTCTCCCCTTCTCGGTGATGGAACCACCATCATTATCCAAATTAGGATTCTAGGAGTCAGATAGATGTTTCTCTATCACCCACTACATCCTGTTTGCAAGATGTCTTGCAAACTTCCCTTCCTGGAATAGGCTCACTTCACTCCCCTTTCCAACATCCCCATGACCTCTGCTCCTAGTCATTTCATCGTCGTCGTCTTCTGCTCAGACCTTCACTCTGGTTTCCTCTCCAACCTGTTGGCCTCCACTCTCCTCCTCTTCCTAAAATCTCCCTCACATCACCCCAGAGGGATACCTTCTCCCACCAAGAGCTGACTCTGCCCCTTCCCCCTTGCTCTTAATCCTTCCATGGCTCCCCAGTGCCCTCAATATAAAGTCGAGACTTTTTTGGATATGTGAGCCTGCAAGATACGGCTTGCCACTATTCTTCCAGAGTCATCATGCCTTGATACCTACCTCTGGGGTCATTTAGCTGACTACCTGCCCCACATTTGAACGTCTCTGGACATTTGTCACCTGGTAGCCCAATCCTCGAGAGGGGAGAAACAGGCCTGCCCGTCTTGCCCTTCTCCTTTACCTTTGTGCTCAGCTCTGGGGCCCTGGACAATGCTCCTCACCCCTCATTCCCAAGGCAAGTCTCCATCGAACATGTGATAATAGGTGAAGACATTTTTGTCTATTTTGTTCAACAAGAGTCGTACTTGACATATAACAGACTCTCAGTATATATATTCAAAAATTAAAAAATAAAACTGTCACTTGCAAAATCTCTGCCTGTAGCCCAGGTCTTTGTTCGGACCCCAGCGCTCTCCTAATGGCCCCGCTGTTGTCTGTGAAGGCATTTCCAATGCTCTCCACCGTGCTAGATGGGGAGCCCATAGGGACAGAAATTGGGTCTGTTTTGACTCCCAGAGTGACTCGGTAAATATTGTTGATAGGATAAGGCTCAGAAAAACCTCTGTCTCAGGTTGATAGGGCCCCAAGAAACAAAAGTGGCAAGTTGGAGAATCTAGCTCCTTTACAGCCAGTAGTAAGTGAGCCTACTCTTTGTCCTGGAGAGAGACATTACCCGTCCCTCAGGGTGGCTCCCTGCAAACACAACCTGAGAACTAGGCCCGGTAACGAGATCTCGGAGCATCATGTTGTGGGCACACCCAGCAAGATGGGCAGGAGGGCGAGAGGCTCATGGAGAGCTGTCCTTCCCAACAGGCTGCCCTGCTCTTCTTAGATAATGTGGGAAACTGCAAAATCCTCGAATCAAATTCTCCTTTACCAGCGTACATGAAGATTCCACCCCTTGTGGTCGACGTCTTACTCAATAAGTCTAGACCATTTGACTGGTTTCCAGTCAGAAAACCAGGAGGGTGTGGTGAACAGAGAAACCCCAGTACTCACATTTCACAGTTCTGAGCTTTCTCTCTTCATGCTTTGTTTGAAGCAGTTGAAAAATGAGGTGACTGGAAGAAAGGGACACGGTAGTTAAATAAAGCCTCTCTTCTTGGTCAGACACTATAAATCTATTGCACTTTCTCCTGTCTAACAGAAGTCAAACTTTTCTTTTTTTGAGATGGAGTTTCATTCTTTTGCCCAGGCTGGAGTACAGTGGTGCCATCTCAGTTCACTGCAACGTTCACCTCCTGGGTTCAAGCGATTCTCCTGCCTCAGCCTCCTGAGCAGCTGGGATGACAGGCGCCCGCCACCACACCCAGCTGCTTTTTGTATTTTTAATAGAGACGGGGGTTTTACCATGTTGGCCAGGCGGGTCTCGAACTCCTGACCTCAGGTGATCCGCCTGGCTCGACCTCTCAAAGTGCTGGGATTACAGGCATGAGCCACAACACCTGACCTCCCTATTGTAAGTGTTAGTTCTAAAAACTGGCGGCCCCTCCTCTGAGTCCCTGTTACTCCAGTTCTCAATCTCTCTCCATATGGCTCAATGCTCTCCTGGAATCATTGTCTCTTCAGGTCCCCATTCGGATCTTCAGTCTCAGGCCCATTTTTCCCCCTATAGTTTTTCCTATAGTCTCATTATCCTTAAGTGAGCAGGAACACTAAGACATCCAGCAGAGTCCCTGAGGATGAACTGGGAAGCAGAGAGGAGGAACGTAAGAGAAGCTCAGCCTAGTGATGACAGAATCTGTTACTCTGCAAACCCTTTTCTCTTGGGCAAGCCAGACCTTCCCACCAGCCTATGTTATATAGCTCACCTCTTGGCTCGAAGCTTAGGTTTCATGCTCCTGGGGTCAGACCCCTCTGCAGAGCTGGGTAATACTTGAGCTCAGGAGCTGATGGTTCTGCAGTTCCACGGACAGCACCATCCCTGCTGCCTGGGGCTTACCAGGTCCGCCCTGTCTTGTGGGGACAGCTGTGACTTTCTGTGCGGCCCCTCCTTCATCTGCATCTCAGACAAATTCGCTCAAGATAAGGTTGGAGGGAGGAGAGAGTTCACTATATCACAGCACATAAAGGATCGGGGCAGATACATTTCTGCACTCCAGCCTGGGTGACAGAGTCTTGACTCGGTCTCAAAAAAAAAAAAAAAAAAGAGCATGAGTCAAACTGTCGTGTGTCTTCCGTTTAATTCTGAATGGGGGGTAAGGGATAAACTGACCTCTCAGCACCATCCTTCCTGCTTTCTCTGCTTTTTTCATGCAGCCCCAAAGACACTGAACAATGGCACATCACTGCCTGTCCTGGAGGAAGAGTCCCCGTGGTCTATGTGGCTGACAGCACCCCGCCTCCCCACCCTGCCCCGCTGAGCGGGTCCTGAGAGGGAAGAACACCGAATTCCTCCCAGCTCTCAGCACCCAGGGGCCTGGAGCTGCTTCAGATAGGGGCTGGGGATGGAGGAGAATTGACCTGTTGGGCTCATCACCCACTGCGATCTCAGCACATTTCCCTGAGCCTCTGAGCAGAGTGAGTTGCAGGATGGGTGCTGGGGCAGGCAGCCTGGTTGGGTGTTTGGGCTGTCAGAGGGGTGGAGGCCTGGGAACAGAATCTCATACTCTTCTACCCTTTCCCAAGAAGCCCCTCTGGTTGCAAATGTGTGAGTGAAAAGGCCTCCTGGCCCCTGGTTCTCACCTGATCAGGCGCCCTCATGGGCACTGGCTTCCCTCCCCCACCCCCATGGCCTCACCTGGGGCTACTACTCCAGGTGAGCAGGCCTGCTCTTTTCTAGGGAAGCTGAGGATCGGCCCCCGAGTTCCAGGTGGGGCTGAGCTGTCCTGTCCCGCCTGAGTTAGAATTGAAGTGGCCGATGCTAATCCGAGGCCCGTGTTGACTCTGCAGGTGCGCAGGCCTTCAGGGGAGCAGGGCTGAGAGGCCTGACTGAGCCCCTCCTGCTCAAGACAGAACTCAGATGTGGACACCCGGCCCTGCAGGACAGATGCAGGACATCACTGTCGGCCATGGCTCAGCCCTTCTGACCACTGAGATGCTGCAACTTCCCCTCCTGGGAGGGAGTGATTGGGCAAACATGGGGGCCCTCAGTACTCCCAGCAACATGCACAGATGAGAAAACTACATAGAAAAGCATGGAGACCAGGCCGGGCACGGTGGCTCACGCCTGTAATCCCAGCACTTTGGGAGGCCGAGATGGGCGGATCACAAGGTGAGGAGATCGAGACCATCCTGGCTAACACAGTGAAACCCTGTCTCTACTGAAAATACAAAAAAACTAGCCGGGCGAGGTGATGGGTGCCTGTAGTCCCAGCTACTCGGGAGGCTGAGGCAGGAGAATGGCGAGAACCCAGGAGGCGGAGTTTGCAGTGAGCCGAGATCGCACCGCTGCACTCCAGCCTGGGTGACTGAGCGAGACTCTGTCTCAAAAAAAAAAAAAAGAAAAAAAGAAAAGCCTGGAGACCATGAGCGTTAAAGTGAGGCTGGGGCTCCTTCAGGGGAAAGTGGGGGTGTGGCTGAGAGGAAGTGGGGTAACAAAGGGGAGGTGCTGCGGTGTCCCCAGTGTTCTGTTTCTCTAAGCATGTTCATATGTGTAAACCACTGAGATTTTTTTTCTTGGGGGGAAGATATTTTTATCTATATGACTTATATTTCTCCCAAAACTATTTCTAGAAAACTGACATCGGTCTAAGGAGGCTCCACCACACAGGATACTCCCAGTTCCTCCCAGCCCAGCCACACAGTTACAAAAAATCTTCTGTTGAATTCAGGGGCACGTTTCTTCTGTCATGAAATCCTGCCCGTCGCTGAGGGTGGACGCCCCAGGGCTGGTGTCCTCGCTCCACATCTCCTGTTCACCTGGACCCCCGGGAGCAGAGCCTGCAGAAGCAAAGCCCCGGGGCCGGCAGACCCCTTATGTTCTGGAGTAACCAGGGAAGTGTGGCTGAGCGAGATATCGGTGGTGAAGAAATCCTTCGTGGCGCTGAGACAGCAGTGAGGAAAGGAGAAGTATCTTCCCTTTTGAAATCTGCCCCTTCCCTTCTGGATTTCCTCCCTTCCAAACCCCACAGTACCACAATCACAGTCTCAGTTTCCCAGACCTCCTGCGAGTCAGGCTCTCCTCTGTGTCCTTGGCGTGTATCAACAGGTGAAATCCCCACCTCCACAGGCCCGTGTCCCTCTGCTCGGTCCCCCTGAGACTGAATCCCCGACCTAGAGGAGAGTGACCCCATCCTGCCTGTGCCCCCCACTGAAGCTCCTGCTGTGGACAGCTCAGAAGTCAGGAGCCTCAGTGTCTCTCCTCTGCACAGTGACTCCCTGGGGACAGCGTCCGGCTCTGCTGTGTTGACCTCATTGTGCAGAAAGGGGGTGCCCACCTCGCACCTGCTGGCAGGGGGAATGAGAGGCTGCCTGCTCACCCCACCTGCACCCCTGTCTCTCATGGCCCCGAGTCCCACCTCTGAGCTACGCAGACATCCACGGCCTGTGACTCAGGGGTCTGGCCAGATGGGACTCATTTTCACCCTGCAGAAAATGTCACCTAAGGGGAAGAGCATTGAGAGTCAGGCAGGAAGTGGGGTGGGCCCTGCATAGGGTGGGAATCTGGGTGAGTCTGTCTCCTGCTCTGGCCTCAGGGACCCAGGAGTGAACATGGGGTGGGGGATGGTGGATCTCCCAGGGCTGACCCAGGCCTGACAGTGTCTGGGTGTGAAGTTCCTCCTCTGGGGAGGTCACTGTTCTGACCTCACCCCTGTCTTCCTGTGGGGCCTCCTCTAAGTCTTGAGCCCTCACTTCCTGAGAGAAGAACCCTGAGGAACAGACGTTCCCTGGCGGCCCTGGCACCTCCAACCCCAGACATGCTGCTGCTGCTGCTGCTGCCCCTGCTCTGGGGGAGGGAGAGGGTGGAGGGACAGAGGAATAACCGGAAGGATTACCCACTGACGATGCAGGGGTCTGCGACGGTGCAGGAGGGCCTGTGTGTCCATGTGCTGTGCTCCTTCTCCTACCCCAGGTTTGGCTGGATTACCTCTGACCCAGTTCATGGCTACTGGTTCCAGGCAGGGGCCGATACAGACCGGGACGCTCCAGTGGCCACAAACAACCCAGCTCGGGCAGCGCGGGAGGAGACTCGGGACCGATTCCACCTCCTTGGGGACCCACAGACCAAGAATTGCACCCTGAGCATCAGAGATGCCAGAAGCAGTGATGCAGGGACGTACTTCTTTCGTGTGGAGACAGGAAAGACAAAATGGAATTATAAGTATGTCCCGCTCTCTGTGCGTGTGACAGGTAAGGCACGGGCTCCAGGAGAGGCCACAGGGAAAGGTCATGGGGGCGGCAGGGAAAGGCTGGGATGGGGCCCCTGCCCCGGGAGAGGGCTGAGGGTGAAGTGAGTTGGGCTCAGGGCAGGAGCTGGACCAGAGCCTGAGTTCCCCCCAGGGCTGCACCATGGATCCTCCGTCCTGATCCTGAGTCCCCCTCTCTTCACCAGCCCTGACACACAGGCCCAACATCCTCATCCCAGGCACCCTAGAGTCCGGCTGCCCCCAGAATCTGACCTGCTCTGTGCCCTGGGCCTGTGAGCAGGGGACACCCCCTATGATCTCCTGGATGGGGACCTCCGTGTCTCCCCTGGACCCCTCCACCACCCGCTCCTCGGTGCTCACCCTCATCCCACAGCCCCAGGACCACGGCACCAGCCTCACCTGTCAGGTGACCTTCCCTGGGGCCAGTGTAACCACGAACAAGACCATCCACCTCAACGTGTCCTGTGAGTGCTGGGCCAGGACACCTGGGTCCCTGATGGGGTGAGCGTCAAGCCTGGACACAGGGTGCTGGGTCCCGGAATCTGGGCTGGTTGTGGGGTCAGGAGGACAATGGCTCTGTCTTCCCTGTTTATGCGGCTCCTGGGGACAGACAGGGCCAGCGTTCCCAGCCCACAGTGATGCGAGTCTCCATGTCTTTCTGTCCCAGACCCCCCTCAGAACTTGACCATGACTGTCTTCCAAGGAAATGGCACAGGTAGGATGGAGCCCCCTCCCTGGGGCTGGAGGTGCAGGGCCTTCAGGTCAGGATGGGGCTGGGTTATTCCTCAACCTGAACTCACTTTGGGAAACAGAGATGCCCTTGTGGGTGAACTCAGGGCCCCTCTGTGTCCTTAGGCCCCAAGGCCGCCTGTTCCCATCCTCCCATCACCACTCTTGGACCCCCCCACACACACCTCCCTTCGGCCTCAAACAAGAACAGGGTGGCATTCGCACAGCAGGGCCAGGCTCTGAGGTTCCTTCTCATGCATCTCCTGAATACACTTCCACCCTTATCTGTGTATTTCCGATAGTTCTGATATAAGTACTTCTGGACAGGTGATAAATGCCCATGGGCAAAAATTCAAATTGCAGAGCAGAGTCTGTCCTCCGATGCCTGCCCCCTACCCAGAACCAGCCACTGTCCATCCAGGCTGCCCTGAGCCTTGGTGTGTGCACCTGGGGGATCGGAGGTGGTTTGGCGTCCGTAGTGAGACGGTCCTCACCCTCCTCTAGGGCTGTGTGTGATTCCGCTGCACGGATGGACTCTGATTTTGTGGCATCTCCTAATGGAAGATCATAGCACTCATTTTATCCTATGGCAGGAACACGGCAATGAACACTCTTGTATCTACTTCCACAGGAATATCTAAGTCTGTGGGTTAAGTTCCTAAAAGCAAAATGTAGCTACGTTGTATGTTCACATTCCCAACAGTGAGTGGTGGAAGGTGCATGTGTCTGGAACTTCAGTCTAGGTCTGTGTGTCAGTTGCTGTCATCAGTCTCTTTCTGTATCCTTTCTTTTTCTCCAGCTCTATGTACTTCTCTGACCCTCTGTCTCTTTTTCTACAGTATCCATAGTCCTGGGAAATGGCTCATCTCTTTCAGTCCCAGAGGGCCAGTCTCTGCGCCTGGTCTGTGCAGTTGACAGCAATCCGCCTGCCAGGCTGAGCCTGAGCTGGGGAGGCCTGACCCTGTGCCCTTCACAGCCCTCAAGCCCGGGGGTGCTGGAGCTGCCTCGGGTGCACCTGAGGGATGAAGAGGAATTCACCTGCAGAGCTCAGAACCTTCTGGGCTCTCAGCAGGTCTCCCTGAACGTCTCCCTGCAGAGTGAGTGCACCGGTGTGCTGGGGAGGAGCTGGAGGAGGAGAACACACCTTCTCCACCCTCAGTGACCACGGAGCGGCCCCTGACCTTCAGAGAGGAGCTCCGCTCTGATCTGTGCTCAGCTGTGAGCACTTTCCTGGGACCCACAGCACCACTGTCCTCTTCCTGTCAGGGAAGGGTTGTGGGGTGGGGAGAGGGCAGGAGTGGATCTCAGAGGGGAGAGGATGGGGCCTGGACAGGTGTGTTTAGGGAGACAAGCGCCTTTCTTTACAGGGCTGAACTGGAGTCACACAACTGAGGTACTTGCCTTGAGCATCAAATTAAAAAAAAAAAGAAAAGGCCCAACAAGTTAGCAGTCAAATGAAATCATACTGCAATGCAGTCATCTTTTAAAAACAGTAAAAACTGAATGCAAAACAAATTCATTGATGGATAAAATATTAACATCGTAAAGAAAAAAAAAAAAGGAACGGCTGGCACTTGCACGCCTCACTGGCCTCAGGAAGAGTCTCTCCATGTCCTTCTCTCTCTCATTTCTGTTCTTTGTGTCTGGGAAGGGGAAGTGGAAATAGACGTATAGGACCCTACAGGAAGTGGGAGGAGGAGGAGAAGAGACCCAATTCTCTATGATATATCACAAAAATAACTCCAATCTGTCAACAGGCAAAGCCACATCGGGACTGACTCAGGGGGCAGTCGGAGCTGGAGCCACAGCCCTGGTCTTCCTGTCCTTCTGCGTCATCTTCGTTGTGTGAGCATGGACCTTAGGAAGGGAGAGAGAGCCCTGGGGGAGGGCGGGCTGGGAGCTGGATCCCTGAAGCCAGAGCTGGAGGGACCCGGATGGGTCAAGAGCTCGGGGCAAGAAGGAGGTCACAGGTGCATGGTGAGAATTCCATGTGGGCCTGTGTTTGAGGAGCTTTGAGTCTGTGGCAAACCTTGGTACCCACTGTCCAGGAGAAGAGTGTCTCTATTCTCAACCTTGGAGTCTCTAAGACTGGACCACTGCTTTCCCACCTCAGTCACCCCTGCAGTCTCTTAATAGGAAACACATGGGGGGTACCTGGTCTGCCCACTGCACCCCGATCTGACCACACTGAAAGGCTGTCTGGTCTCTTCACTCAGAGTGAGGTCCTGCAGGAAGAAATCAGCAAGGCCAGTCGCGGGCGTGGGGGATACAGGCATAGAGGATGCAAACGCCGTCAGGGGCTCAGCCTCTCAGGTGAGTGCTGTGGACTCTCCACAGCCAGCATCCAGCCTGGACACCTCCCACAGGATGACCCCCAGGACTAACCAGCTGGGCATAGCCAAAGTTACCTCCTCTCTGTTCTTCCTTTCTTCTCTGTAGCCCCAAATTCACAATGTTTGGTTGGTTTCCTCCCCTAAGAACAGCTTGCATTGTCCCTACCCCCATCCTGACCCTTCATTGCTGAGGCCTGAGGATCTCTGTCTTTTGCTCCCTCACTTCCCTGCCTGTCACCTCTCCTTTCCTGACTGGGGGGACTGTCCAGAAGGCATCATCGTCCAGTTCCTCTGCATTTGAACAGCTGTTCCCCGACCCCTCGATACCGTCTAGAGCAGAAGCCAGCAAATATTATCTGTAAGCGACAGATAGAAACTATTTTTGGCTTCATGGGCCACACAGTCTCATTGCAGCTCCTCGTATCTGCTGTTGTAGCGAGAAAGAAGCCGTATACCCTGTGTAAAGAAATGAATATGGCTGTGTGCCAATAAAACTTTATTCGCAAACATAAAGAGTGGGCTGGATATAACTCAAATACTGTAGTTTGACAATCCCTGATCTAGAGTAAAAATCCCAAACTCTATAGCCTGCAGCAGTGCACATTTTGACCTTTTTTTTTTTTTTTTTGAGTTGGAGTCTTGCTCTGTCGCCCAGGCTGGAGTGCGGTGGCGCGATCTCTGCTCACTGCGAGCTCTGCCTCCCGGGTTCAAGCCATTCTCCTGCCTCAGCCTCCAGAGTGGCTGGGACTATAGGCGCCCGCCGCCACGTCTGGCTAATTTTTTGGTATTTATAGTAAAGACAGGGTTTCACCGTGTTAGCCAGGATGGTGTCGATCTCCTGACCTTGTGATCGGCCCGCCTCAGCCTCTCAAAGTGCTGGGATTACAAGCGTGAGCCACCGCGCCCGGCCACATTCTGACCTTTTAAGCACCTATCTCTCCACTAGGGCAAGAACAAGGGTGAAGTGAGTGAGGCTCTTGCCTCAAGTGCATTTTTTTGTTTGTTTTTGTTTTTTGAGATGGAGTCTGGCTCTGTCACCCAGGCTATAGTGCAGTGGCACAATCTTGGCTCACTGCAACCTCTGCCTCCTAGGTTCAAGCGATTCGCCTGCCTCAGTCTCCTAAGTAGCTGAGATTACAGGTGTCCACCACCACACTTGGCTGATTTTGTGTTTTTAGTAGAGACAGGGTTTCACCAAGCTGGCCAGGCTGCTCTTGAACTCCTGACCTCAGGTGATCCGCCCACCTCAGCCTCCTAAAGTGCTGGGATTATAGGCGTAAGTCACTGCGCCCAGCCTCTCTGTTCTGTTCTGACTCCCTTCTCTCTCCCATGTCTCAGGGGTCCCTGACTGAACCCTGGGCAGAAGACAGTCCCCCAGACCAGCCTCCCCCAGCTTCTGCCCGCTCCTCGGTGGGGGAAGAAGAGCTCCAGTATGCATCCCTCAGCTTCCAGACGGTGAAGCCTCGGGACTTGCAGGGACAGGAGGCCACTAACACCGAGTACTCGGAGATCAAGATCCACAAATGAGAAACTGCAGAGACTCAGCCTGATTGAGCGATCACAGCCCCTCCAGGCAAGGGAGAAGTCAGAGGCTGGTTCTTGTAGAATTAACAGCCCTCAAAGTGATGAGCTAGGCACATAGTGAAAAGCACACAGGCTTTGGAGTCAAAGTATCTCCAACCTGAATCTACACTGTGCCGTCTTTTTATTTTTTTGACAAAAAGACAAATTCCTACCTCTCTGTACCTTGGTTTCCTGCTCTGGAAAACAGGAATGAGAAGCGCTACTTGCAAGGTTGTGGTGATCATTCCAGGAGCCACATCCCATCAGAGCTCCTGGCACAGGTGTATGCTGAGCACTGATGAATCGCTGTGCTTTGAACACAAAGGTCCTGCTGGGAACCTCTCCTGATTCTGGTGGCAACTGGTACCTATATGTCTGTGTCACTTGCCTGCAAAATAGTGCAGGCAATTTTCCAGGAAATGACCTCAGCCTGCAAATCAGGTCTGGGTAGCATCTGGATCCTGCCCACCTCTTCGGCCTCATCTCCCCTCCTTGTGACTGCTAGGCCTCCTTGCTCTCTGTAGTCTACGTGTTGTGCACAGTCCAGTGGGAGTCTTTAGGACACACTGAGCTCTCTCTGCGCTGCTCACAGCCCATCCATGGCTCCTGCATCCTGAACCTCCAATCACATCCTCTTCATGGCATCACTTTCCGACCTCAGTCCACTCCTCCATCCTCACCACTTAACCCACTGGTCCCTCTGGCCTTTTCCAAATCATTTGCAACATGTCCTGTTGGTTCATACCTCAGTCCTTGAACACTGGGGACCCTCCTCCTAGAATGCCCTCCTCCTGGGCCTTCATCTGCCTCCGTCTTTGAAAATGGAGTTCAAGGATTGGACTTCTGGGTTGAGCTGAGGGAGAGAGTGAAGCAGCAGCTCATGATCTCCCTCCTTTAAAGCCAAACCCAGGGAATGAGAAACGTTTCCAAAGGGTCAAAGGATCATCTGGCAAATTAAACATGATCCAAAAAAATTCACCTACGTGCAGCACCCGAACAAGGGAAGGAACATCTCACAACAATCACTTTATGCAGTAGCCCCGATGAGAAGGAATCAAAGGACTGGAGGAGGCACTAACAGTTCCCTAAATCTGGACTCTTGCCCATTTACGGCAGCATCAAAAAACCGTAAAGTACCAAGGAACAATTTTTTAAAAATCACGGCCGGGCGCGGTGGCTCACGCCTGTAATCCCAGCACTTTGGGAGGCCGAGGTGGGCAGATCACAAGGTCAGGAGATCGAGACCATCCTGGCTAACACGGTGAAACCCCGTCTTTACTAAATATACAAAAATTAGCCGGGTGTGATGGCGGGTACCTGTAGTCCCAGCTACTCTGAAGGCTGAGGTGGGAGAATGGCGTGAACCCGGGAGTCAGAGCTTGCAGTGAGCCGAGATTGTGCCACCACACTCTAGCCTGGGTGACAGAGCCAGATTCCATCTCAAAAAGTTAAAAAAAAAAAAAAAAAATCATATGCGAGCTGGGTGTGGTGGCTCACGCCTGTCATCCCAACACTTTGGGAGGCTGAGGCAGGTGAATCTCTTCAGGTCAGGAGTTCGCCAACATGGTGAAACCCCATCTCTACTAAAAATACAAAAATTAGCCAGGTGAGGTGGTGTACGCCTGTAGTCCCTGCCACTTGGGAGGCTGAGGCAGGAGAATTGCTTGAACCCGGAAGGCAGAGGTTGCAGTGAGCTGAGATCGTGTCATTGTACCCTAGCCTGGGCGACAGAGCAAAAGTCTGTCTCAAAAAAAAAAAAAAAAAAAAAAAAATCCTATGCTATGGTTTGGATATGGTTTGTTAGGCCCTGCCAAACCTCCTGTTGATATTTGATGCCCAGCGTTGGAGGTGGGGCCAAATGGGTGGTGTTCAGATCCTGGGATTGGATCCCTCATGAATGGCTTGATGCTGTCTTCAAGGTAACGAAGGCATTCTCACTCTGTTACTTCCTGTGAGAGTTTCTCCAAGAGCTGGTTGTTAAAAAGACATTGGAACCTCCCCTCCCCAGCCCATGCTTCCTCTCTTGCCATATTGTCTGCACATGCAGACTTCCTTTTGCCTTCCACCAGGAGTGGAAGCTTCCCGAGACCCTCACCAGAAGCAAAGGCTGGTGCCAAGCATATGGTGCAGAACCGTGAGTCAAATAAACTGTTGGGGGGTGCACGGCAACATATTCAAGCTTATGTACAAGGCATTTGAGGTCGAGGCATGGAAAAATACTGAGGCACTGTGTGTGTGTTGTTTGTGCATGAGACTGTAACTCCTTGACCCTGAAAACAGGGAAAGGAACGGAATGTGTGATAAGGAGCACTGAAAACAGCCTCCTGAGAATGTAGTCTGAGTGTTTTCGCAAGGCCATGTGTGTCTCCTGACCCGACCGCAAAAGGCCATCTGGTGGACGTTTTGGTTTAACAAGCCCTTTCAATAAGTACTTGGCGGACGGATTCTGGGGCGGCACTCTTCCAGAGACGCTGCTCCGGCCTCCCGCTCAGCTGGAATTGTCTGAGTACTTCATTCTTGGCGTTCACTGCAGCTACAAGCTGCATAAACCTCTTTTCTTTATAAACTACCCAGCCTCAGATGTTACTCTATAGCAACACAAATGAACTAAAAGAACATGGAATGCTTCTGTACTGATAAATATAGAGCATTTTTGAGAGACTTAAGGAAGGCCCAAATGAAGGAAGAAATATATCACATTCATGAATTGGAAGACAAAAATGGTTAAACTGTCAGTTGTCTGCATATTGATTTAGGTAATCCCAGTCAAAATTCCTATGTGTGTGTATATATATTATATATGTATATGTGTATATGTATGTATATATAAGTATATATGAGTGTATATGTATGTATATTATAAATATAAGTTTATATATATACACATATATAGTTATAGATTGATAAGTTGTTTCTAAAATTTATATAAACACATAAAGGCCTAGAATAACCAAATCATTGTGATAAGAAACACATTTAGAGAAGTCAGACTTTAACATTAGAGTAATACAGAGAGTGTGGTGTGGACTTGAATACAGTCTCCAAATAGCCCCACACATATACAATCAATTGAATAGCATCAAGTCTATTCAATTGGGACAGGAAAGACTTTTAATAAATGTTGGTGGGTGGCCGGGCGCGGTGGCTCACACTTGTAATCCCAGCACTTTGGGAGGCTGAGGTGGGTGGATCACTTGAGGTCAGGAGTTCGAGACCAGCCTGGATAACATGGTGAAACACCATCTCTACAAAAAAATACAAAAAAAAAAAAAAATTGCCTAGTACCTGTAATCCCAGGTACTAGGGAGGCTGAAGCAGGAGAATTGCTTGAACCCGAGAGGCGGAGGTTGCAGTGAGCCAAGATTGTGCCACTGCACTCCAGCCTGGCAACAGAGTGAGACCCCATCTTGAAAATAAATAAATAAAAGATAAATGTTAGTGGGACAAGTGAAATTAGGGTTGGTAAAAATGAGTGTTGAGCCCTTTCTCACATCACACACAAAAAATTAGCCTGAAGCCAATCATAAACCTAAAAGTGAAGACTATAATGTTTGTATGACTGTGCTGTTCGATATGGTAACCACTAGCCACGTGTGGCTACTGAGCACTTGAAATGTCCTATATTTAGTGAGAAAATAATATAAAAATCTAATTAATTAATATTTAAAATTGATTACATGTTGATAGGATGCTACTTTGGATGTATCAGGTTAAATAAAATATTATTGAGACTGGGTGCGGTGGCTCATGCCTGTAATCCCAGCACTTTGGGAGGCCAAGGCAGGCAGATCATGAGGTCAAGAGATTGAGACCATCCTGGCTAACACAGTGAAACCCCATCTCTACTAAAAATACAAAATTTTAGGGCAAGGTGGCAGGTGCCTGTAGTCCCAGCTACTTGGGAGGCTGAGGCAGGAAAATGGCGTGAACCCGGGAGACGGAGCTTGTAGTGAGCCAAGATTGTGCCACTGCACTCCAACTTGGCAACAGAGTGAGACTCCATCTCAAAAAAAAAAAAACAAAAATTATATATATATATATATGTATATATAAAATTGAAAGTAATTTCACCTGTTTCTTGTTGCTTTTTTGTTGTGGCTGCTAAAACAAATTAACATTACATATGTGGCTTACATTTTATTTCTCCTGAACAGTGCTGCTCTAGAAGAAAAATTAGACGATATCTATGGGTGTCCAGTAATTGCTTAGAACACATTCAAAATGTCAAGTATGAAAGAAAGTATATAAATGAGACCTCACCTAAATTGAAAACATCCCTGTTCCTCAAAACATATGACGAAGAAAATGAAAAGGCAAGCCACATCTGGGAGAGAATTTTATACATGTAATTTATAATATATGCCTAAAAAAAGGTTTGAGGGACCCTCCTGCCTCAGTCTCCCGAGTAGCTGGGATTACAGACATGTAGCAGCACACCTGGCTGACTTTGGTTTTGCAGAGGCAGGGGCTCATATGCTGCCCAGGTTGGTCTTGAACTCCTGGCGTCAGGCAATCCTTCCACCTCGGCCTCCCAAAGTGCTGGAATTAGAGGCATGAGCCACTGTGCCTGGACAGTCAATCATGTGCCAATTTCAATCATGGGCAAAAAGGCTTGATTATATATTCCACAAGAGAAAAGATGCAAATTCCAGTGAGTACATAAAAAGGTTTTGAACACCACTGACATCAGGAGATAAAAATTGAAGTCACCATGAGATGCCCTACCACATCTCCTGGAATGGCTAAAATTACAAAGCTCGAGTGCACCAAATGTTGGACAGGATGTGGAGGAACTGGAAATCTCATATATTTCCCGTGGAGATGCAAATAGTACGACCATTTTGAAAAAAAAAAAAAAAAAGTGGCAGTTTTGTAGACAGTTTCACACACTATATCAACCCTATGGTCCAATAATTCTGCTGCCAGGTACTCACTCAAGATGGGTGAGAGCAAAAGTCCACATAAAGACCTGGACAGGAACACTTCTAGCAGCATTATTTATAATAGCCAAAAGGTGGTATCAACTCAAATACCCATCAACAGGTGAACAAATAACCACAGTGTGGTGTTTCCATGTAACGGCATAATACTCCTCAATATATAATAACAAACAATATATAATACATGCAACAGCTTGAATAGATTAGTAGAGATGGGGTTTCACCATGTTGGCCAGGATGGTCTTGATCTCTTGACTCTGTGATCCACCTGCCTCTGCCTCCCAAAGTGCTGGGATTATAGGCGTGAGCCACCATGCCCAGCCAGTCCTGGGAATATTCTGTGTCTTCATTGGGATAGTGATTACGTGGTTATGTATTTATCAAAACACATTGAATTATGCAAATAAAATCTATGTATTTCACTGTATGTAAATTTACCTTTCATGAAAGAGAAATCAAAAGCTCTTAAATGATGAAAGGTTTTGGTTCCCTCTTTTTTACTAGACTAGCTAGTGATCTATCAATCTTATCTGTTCTTTCAAAGAGCCAGCTTTTGGGCATGTTGATTTTTGTATGAATTTTCGTATCTCAATTTTATTCACTTCAGCTCTGATTTTGGTTATTTGTTTTCTTCCGCTAGCTTTGGGGTTGACTTGCTCTTGTTTTTCTAATTCTTCTAGGTGTAATGTTATGTTGCTAATTTGAGATCTTTCTAACTTTTTGATATGGGTATTCCGGAACATTGCATCTTTGCTTTCCTGGATGCTAGGACCAAACTGGACTAGAGTAAATTATGTGGTTCCTTCTGTCCCAAAGAAAGATGTATTTTTAACTCAGGAGCTACGTCAGCCCCATCTGGCTATATTAAGCATCCCTGTTTCCTCCGCGTCTCATGCTGGACTCTGTACAAAAGGGACAGCCAGTGAAAGCATTATTGATATGTCAATATTGAGATGTGAGAATTTGATCCTGTCATTATGTTGTTAGCTGGTTGTTATGTAGACTTGATTGTATAGTTG